GCTCCCCACACTTCTCTCCATGCCCACGGGGCTCAGAGAAGGCGCGTTCCCTATAGGAAGCCCTTCTTGGGGCCCACCGGCCACGGCCTTGGGCTCCCCTGCGGGGCGTGGACATGACCCTGGCCGTCTGCCTGCCGCGCCCCCCCAGGTGGGGTGTCCGCAGCTCCTGTGTCATCAGAGGTGCAGCAGGCCCGCACACGCCGCCCTCCCATCACAGCCTGTGGGGCTTGCGCTCCCCGGGCCCAGAACAGGGAGCGGAGCCTTAGCGCTCACACGGAGGGAGAGGGCAGGAAGGCAGGCGGGCGTTCACGGAGACGACAGCAGAGGCAGAAGGCCTGAGGTGACCCTGTGCAGACCAGGAAGCCCTGGCAGTCGGAGCTGGGCCCCCGCTGCGGCCACGGGGCAGCTACGAATGTGTCCAGTGAAACTCCTCTCTTACCCCCGGGCTCTGCTCAGAGTCAGCTCTCCCGGCCAGCTGCAGCCACGCCAAATGTCCACCGCCTCCTGCGTCCTGACGGTCCCAGGCGGGCGGGGTGCCCGAGCGGCTGCCCCCGCGATTCGGCGCTTCGGGGGTGCTGGAGGAGTGGGGGCCGCCGCACCTCAGCAGCCCCAGCGGGTGACGAAAACGAGGGTGTGCAATCTGTTTGCCAGGAGAGCCTCCAGGCTTAATGCCCAGCGAGGAGGAAGAGCTGGGAGACTTCAGAGAAGAATTACCTCCTCGCAAAGAACGTGATCCTCGGGACTTGCGAGCAGCTTGGAAACGTTAGGGCAGGAAGTCCTGGGGAGACCTCACAGCGGCCAAGGAGACCCTGAGGCCCGGGAACCTGCACCTTCCAGGCCAAGCATGCGTGCGTGTGCGGTGCATGTGCAGTAACTGTACAGGCAGTGGACAAGACCAGACACTCGGTTCAAACCTTGCCCCTGAGTTCTTCCCCTGGGGCCTCTCACGGACCCTGTTCCTCCCAGGCCAATCTTTGCCACACTTTTTAACGTGGACTAAGAGAGTGTCACTTTTTCAGGTGTCTCTGATTCCGTGGGCACGCAAACCACGTGAGGGCAGTGTCGGCCCAGCGCAGGGCCCAGCCCACAGCACGTGAAGGTGTTGTTGAAATGACTCGGGCCAGGGGCGTCCGGGTGACTTAGTCGGTTAAGCGTCCGACTTTCACTCAGGTCATGATCTCACAGTTCGTGGGTTCGAGCCCCACGTCGGGCTCTGTGCTGACAGCTCAGAGCCTGGAGCCTGTTTCAGTCTGTGACTCCCTCTCTCTCTGACCCTCCCCAGCTCACGCTGTCTCTCTCTCTCTCTCCTAGAAATAAATAAAACATTAAAAAAAAATTTTTTTAAAAAGAAATGACTTGGGCCATGGGTGGGGGCAGCAGACCAGCCTGAAGCTGAGGGTCCCCCCTCGCTGGTGGGGTGTCTTCCTCTCCTGGGGCGAGGCTCTCTGCCGCGATCTGGATGTGATTCTCTCCCATTCGATGCTTTGAGAATAAACCTCCAAGGTGTTTGCGATTCAAAACCACACATGGTGACTTTTCTCCAGTTTCAAGTTCATTTGAGATTAGGCAAATACCTCCTCCTTGGGGAAGATTCTGCCAGAATCCTTCATTTCATCCGGCCTTTCCTAAGGACGTGAGCCGGCCCTCCAAGCACGAGTCCCTGGGTGAACACAATCGCCCGGCACCATAAGTTATTTTAATGTAGACGTCACTTTAAACTAACCTTTTACCATCTGTTCTGTCCTTTAATAACAAATGCAAAAGAGCATAATTCTCCGTGGCGCCGTAAAAGTGAGGAGGTGATGGAGGCGCCTGCCTGTGTTCTTTATTCATGGCCCGATCGTGTGCTGCCGTGATGTTTTTCTCATTTTCCAGACACAAATCAAGGGGAAACTGCTCTCCTCTGATCTGGTGAATTCATTTGTACAGTATTTCTTCTTAATGTGGTAAACTGTGTGGAGCGTCCCCAAGCCGGCACAGAGCCCCGGGCCCGCACGCCCTAGCGGCAGCTGGGGAATTAAGCAAAGGCACCCAGTGGTCAGACTGTAATGAGATTTTTTTGCAAAAAACAAAACCTCTTTAAATATGTGGTGGGTTCTTTTCAGTGGTTTTATAATTAAATCTCCCCATGAAGGATGTGCAGTCTGGCCCGGAGAACGCGGCGGAAGCATGCCAGGCGGTCCGCTATGCTCGCCGGCCGCCACTGGAGCACCCCTCGGGAGGACCTCCTGGCTCAGGCCCAACGACCCCTCGATCCTTTGGCCACTTCTTTGGGGCCTGCTGTGTGCTCAAGTGCCTAACTCACCAACTTTCTAGAACTTTCCTGGCGGCTCCCAGAAGGCACAACTTGCTTGGGTTTTCTACATTAATCACACAGTTCCCCAGTGGGGGCTGATCTGGCCTGACGGGTTCCCCACACGCGGCGAACAGCTCAGGTGCATGTGGCCACAGGGGTCTTCCTCCCCGGGACCCAGACTTGCCGCCGCCACCCCATTTCCCTGGCGACCACTCCTTGGCACAAAGTCCCTCAGGGGAGAAGAGGTGGCTCTCGGCCACGAAGGGCCAGGGCCGCTGTCCTGTGAAGGGAGCCCTGGGGACGGAGCCAGGTGGCCAGGAAGAACGCCCTGCCCCCGCCCTTCCTCCTCTGTCCTCCGCGCAGAGCCCGTCTCCCCGACGCGGCTGCGGTGCCGGGCTGCTCGCACGCGGCTCTTCTGTCTGAAGGACGTTACTTGGTGGGCATGACAAAGACAGGGTGGACACGTGTCCTGGGGAGCCCAGCGCTACGAGTGGCAGCAGGCGGCGGGCCCGGGACCCAGCGTGTCGTCCCTGGAGGGGGCAGGGGTGGCTGTGGCCACGATGAGCACAGCAGAGCTCCGACACCTCCACGGCCCAAAGGACGGCACAGGGTGACATGGGGCCCCGGCCCTGGCCATCCTTTCCGTGGCCGGAAGCCCTGCTGGGTGTGTGCTGCTCAGGGCAGAGCCAGGAGGTGAGAGGTGGAAGCAAAGACAGTCCTCGTAGAGTGGGGGAGGGGTGGGGGTGGGGTCTGTGGCCAGAAAGGTGTACGTGGCAAGGGGAGGGGTGGGGGAGGGACTTGGAGTGTCATGGGGGTGGGGGGAGAGTACAGGGGTGGAGGAGACGGGTATGTGGAGGTGGGGATACATTCCCACATGATCACCCAAGAGACCTACTTACCATCTGTCCTTACCTGGTGCAAAAAAGACTCTTGTCATGAGGACTTAGACATGCGCTGAGCTGGCACGTAGGTGGGAGAGGACCTCACCGCCTCACCCGTGACTTCCTTATTGGGGAGCAGGAAGTGTGCGCCCCGGACGCCCTCACTCATCATCCCTCCCCACCCCGGGCCGCCCCCTGCCTGTCCTCTGTGTCCCTGAGCTCCGGGGTCGTCATCCTGTGCAGTAAATTTCACTTGCAGTCTTGTAATAAAACGTCCGGCCGACTCTGCTCTGTAGAAGCAGAGGTTTCCGTTGTGTCCATTTTGTTATAAAATGTTGTTATAACCCCCGAGCTTTGATTTACAGAAAAGAAGCCAGATTTTGTAAAGCTGTACCGGGGGCCCTTGCACAATGCAGGGTTATTGGGGCACCCACCCCTGGCACAGCCAGGGGTCCTCGTGCAACTTCTGACCTCCAAAATCTGAACTGCCCATAGCCTCCCATCGACCAGCAGCCTAACCAACAGCATAAACAGTCGACTAACACAAATTTTGCGTGTTGAATGTATTATGTGCCATATGCTTACGATGAGTAAGCCAGAGAAAAGCCATGTTATTAAGGAAACCGTAAATAGAAAATACTTCTACGGTCCTGTACTGTATTTATCCCAAAGAATCCTGTGTAAATGGACCAGCACAGTTCAAGCCCCTGGTCAAGAGTCAACTGTATTCAAAGTTGAATTCTATTCTGTTAATTTGACCTTATCAATTATACCTTCTCAGTCTCTGTGGCTCATTTCCCCATGGCTCAGAGAAGCCAGTTACCTTCCAGAGGGCACCCCCATTCCCATCAGGTGCCCCCTACCATTACAAGAGCTTCTCCTTCCTCTAAATCAAAGAGGCACACCCTATTTATATTTTTTAGATTTTTTTTTATTGAAGTATAGTTCACATACAATATCGTATTGATTTCCGGTGTACTACATACACTGAATTTGGGCGATTCGACAATTATTTGCATTACGAAGTGCTCCCCCGAGAAGTGAGCTCCCCATCGGCTGCCGTACTCTACACCTCACTTTTCATTCCACTCTTGTCCATTTTGTCTCCCAGAGACTAATACTGTCACCCAAGTACCTGGTCACCCACCCCTGTGTGCTTGTCTCCGTCCACACGGTCAGACAGCTTCTCTGTGAAAACGCTGTTACGTTCATGTGTAGCCTGTAGCCATTGTGACAACAGTCTTCAGTGTGAAATCTGTGTCTGCGTGCTGGTCACGGTCCTCTCTGCCCCGACCCACCCTCGCCGCGAGCGCGGCCTCCCACCCTCAGGGACTGGGCTCTGGCGCCTGGTGCCCCCGTCAAAGGAGCAAGACACTGGGACACAGATGAAAACTTAGGGGGCGTATGTGCTGGGTCCCAGCCTTTCTCCCCTCTGGACCCTGTAGCGGCTGCTCCCTTGTCCTGTCTTTCTCTTGTTTGATGGCGAGCGTTAGGAGCAAGTGCAATGGCAAGTGCATCGGGGCCATTTGGCACCACCATTTCCCGTCTCTCGGCGGTGATGGAGGTCTCTACCGCGTGTCCACGATCCCTGCGGACACTTTCACCTGGAACACGGCCTTGCCTTCCCTGTTGCCTGCTGGGCCGCTGGACGTGTGGTGGCGCTACATAACCCCCTGACCGCTGACGGCCCTGGCGGTTCCCAGAGTGGATACCCGATGCACCCCGGATGGCTGAGGGCCAGGCAATTAGGGGTGGGGTGAGTGTACGTTTATGGAGCGTGGCCCCTGCCCCCGCTGTGGCTGACTCTCCTCTCCTGCTTCCAGATCCGGTCCGACAAAGACAACGACATCCCCATCCGGTACAGCATCACGGGCGTGGGCGCCGACCAGCCCCCCATGGAGGTCTTCAGCATCGACTCCATGTCTGGACGCATGTATGTCACTCGGCCCATGGACCGGGAGGAGCGAGCCTCCTACCACGTGAGTACCTCGGGCCGTGGGTTCCTCACTTGGGAAGGAGAACGTCAGCCTGAGCCTGCGCTGGGATTGCCCACAGGGCTGTGTAGACCCCACGGCGCTGGGCACCACCCTGGGGTCTCTCATTCCATGGGCTCGGGAAGGGCACCTCCACCACATTCCCAGGGGAAGCCAGGAAGGCGTGGGGCCACCTTGGAAGGACGCCTGGTCTAGAAGCTCTGATGTTAGTTCTGATGGGGGGAGGAGACACGTGGCGGCTGGGCAGTGTGGCCTCTTCCTGAAGCGGCCCTCTGTGAGCAGCTCCATCCTCTGCGACCCCAGAGTAATGCACCTGCTTCTCTGAGAGCAAAGAGCAGCTCCCGAGTGAGTGGTGTCCAGGCTCCACGTCAGAGCTGTGCACACAGAGGGGAGCAGACGCACTGATAAATGCTGCAGGGCTTGGCTTCCGGGTGCTGTTCGCTCCTCTCCATCCATCCATCCATCCATTCATCCATCCATCCATCTGACTTGGTGGCTCAGGGGAGGGGCCCCAGAGCTCAGGCGGAAACAGCAGGGTCTCATGGCCTCCACCCTAACGGCCAGTCCCCTGTCCCGGCCCCGCCTCCTCATCCGCAAGATGCAGGTTTGCACCCGCTGGAGGCAGTATGAGCTGGAGGAGAGTGAGGACCACAGCCCCCTCTCTAGGTGGGAGGATCCAGGGGTTCACGTGTGAGAACAGAGCACAGCGCATGGTGTGCACTGTTTTCATGACATCTGAACACCCAGGTCCTTGGTTGTAACTTGGAAATGAAAACTATCATTTAAGAGGATCGAATTCTCAGCCTTTTGCCCTGATGTTAGACATCATTGGCCCAAATTTCACTTGGCGTCAGCCCACGGTGCTGAATGTGGCCGAACACCACTGCTGCTCTCTGGTTATCTGCTTGGGGCCCAGGGCCCACCTCCTGGCACTAGCAGGAAAGCTCCATGTGGCAGAGAGCCATCAGGCTACGCACGCCACATCCCCGGGCCCGAGAATGTTGCCTGGCCCTCAGGGATGCACAGGAACCACTTGCAGAGGGAAGGAATTGGCAGAAGAGGTTGACTCTGTGGTTGGCAGTGGTGGCCTCCCCTGAGAGACCCCTGACACCATCAGAAGTAGGAGGTTAGGCTGACTGGACCTGGGGAAGCCCGGGCTGGGGGGCTGGTTCATCCTTCTTAACCACTGTCTCGGGCTGGCTGCCCAAGTCCCAGGTGGATTCAGCTTCACAGAGACTGTTGACATGGAAGAGGAGGTTCCATCCATCCTATGGTTTTCTCCTATGAGTAGAGACAGAAGTGTGGAATCAAAGGCTCCCGGCTCCAGAAATTCCCAGTTCACTAGACCCAGACATCCCTCTTCAGAGAAGCTTCCAAGAGAAACCTTGGCTCATACTTCCAGACTCTCACCTCTTGTGTATCCCACTTCATCTCCCATCTATCCATCCATCCATCCGTCCATCCATCCATCCATCCCTTCATCCATCCATCCATCGATTCCTCCATCCATCCATCTGTCCATCTGTTCATCCATCCACTGATCCATCCACCTATCCATCCATCCACTCATACGTACATCCATCTACCCATCCATTCATCCATCCTTCCATCCACCCATCCCTTCATCCATCCATCCATCGATTCCTCCATCCATCCATCTGTCCATCTGTTCATCCATCCACTGATCCATCCACCTATCCATCCATCCACTCATACGTACATCCATCTACCCATCCATTCATCCATCCTTCCATCCACCCATCCCTTCATCCATCCATTCTTCCATCCATCTATCTACCCACCTAGCCATACATACATACATACATTCCATCCATGCATCCAGGGACATTTCTCAGTGTCTAGTACACGTGAGGCCCTGTGGTTGGCAGTGAGCCGCCAACACCAGTGATAACACTAGTAAACACAGCCCAATCAGGGGGAGCTTACACTCCACTGGGATTAAAAGGCATCAAAGCCTTTGGACCTGAAACCCCCAAGAAAGGCTGTGCACCCAGATTCTTCAGCAGCCAGACTGCTGGTCTTGACAAGAGTGGGAATGTTCTGCCCTAGAGATGCCACTGGATGTGGGCATCTGGGTGTCGTCCTGACGGCCTCTCGAACGGTGGGGGCCAGGGTCAGGGAGAAGAAACAGGTACAAAGGAAATCGATTGTTTTGTTAGCTGGTTGGAAAAAGAGCTTCCCTTGGGTCCCTGGGTATCTAAAGGAAAATCTCTCTACCTTTTGAGCCAGGCCGGTGATTCTGTTCACAGGGCGAGGGGCCGTGGGGGAGGATGCGCAGACATGGGACCCCTGAAGCAGGTGGCCGCTGACACTCAGCACTCTCTGCTGCCGGCTCCCAGGCAGGCCGCTTCAGGGGTGCTTCCCCCCGGGAGGGGCTCTCAGGGGGCTTCCCCGACGCACTGGTGAGATCGGCATGGTGTTCCCACACTAACACAGCGGGGACAGACGCTGGGGAGGCACCGCCCTCCTCGCTGCCCCCCTGCCTCCCCAGTGGTCCGTCCCCCTTCCCAGAGGCACCAGCCCCTCTGTGCTCTTCCAGGCGTCGGTGCCCCCGAGTCTAGAGAGATGTGCGGCCAGTGGCTGGGGGCGGGCGGATGTTCCCGGTGACTGAGAAGAGGAGGTGTGTGCTGCTCGCTCGCTGCGTCGCCCACCTGGTCAAGTGTCTCTGTGCCTTGCAGCCTTCGTCCCCAATGAACCCCTGGCCTCCAGGGCCTCGGCCAACGTGGGAGAACTTTGTCTCCAACCAGCCCCACAAACGGCCCCACAGAGCTGCTTGCTGGCGATCATGCTCCCCTCGTTCAAGATTAGACACACTGGTTTTTAATTATCGGTCACTTAGAGACAGCCCCTCCCCCGGGCCTGAGGTCCCGACCCCTCCCGAGGCCTGACCACAGGGCTGGCCCCACGCAGCTCTTCAGTGTCCCTGGAATGTCCCTCCCTCCTGAACTCCAGGCACCCACCACACTTGCTCACTGGTTTGGGGGGGGGAGCTCCTGGCGGGGCACCTTTCCTGCCTTCCTTGGGGCTCCAGCGACCCCTGCTGTCCCCAGCGCAGGCTCCCAGACCTCTGAAAGAAAGGCTTTGTCATGGGCCCTGGGCCAGGCGGCCCTGCAGCTGCTCTGTGACCACAGTCCTGGCGAGGAGGGGCCGCCCGGGCAGGACCCTGCTCAGCTCTGACGTCCAGCACAGACACACATTCCGGGGCCCAGGGCGGAATGAAAGGGGGGCCTGTCATCTGAACTAAGGATTTCATGACAGCGACGGCAGGGCGCTCAGCCACACGCGGGCCTCCGAGTCTCCGGCACAGAGCCCACGCCGTGCCAGCCTCCAGGCTCGCGGTCCTCTCGGAGGCGGATCGACCGTGAGGCCACTTCACGGGGACTGAAGCCTGAGAGCCCATGGGTCTCACCACTGGCCTCCAAGCCCTGCTGGGCCCCAGAGCCGCCGCGCGTTAACTCCCGTTCCTGGGGGCCCCCAGCGGTCCAGGTCGCCAGCACCTCACCCCACAGGCCTCCCTGTGGACGCCCCAGGCCGGGCCCTGGGCGCTGGGGCGGCAGGAGCTGGGATCCGGGAGAGGGGACGGACCGACGATGGCCAGGGACCTTCCGGCGCACCGCCGGCTACACGGCCGGTCCCACCGCCGCGCAGCCCCAGCCGCATCCTCCTTGCGCTGCCGGCCCGAGATCCAGAGTCAGCTCCCCCCGTGCGCCAACCAGAGACAGAGCGAGAGAAACAGGGACACGGAAATAAAGACAGAGACGCGGAGCGACAGAGACAGAGCAAGAGACAGAGACACGGAGGAGAGGAAGAGACGGGGTGGGGAGGCGCTACCTGCTGGCAGAGAGTCAGCCCCGTGGGCTCAGCTCGCATCTCAGGTTCTCACCGCAGCGCCAGCAGCGGGCCAGCAGGTGCGGTGGGCGGGGCCAGCAGGTGGGGGGGTGGGGAGGCAGCAGGTGCGGTGGGGGCAGCAGGTGCGGTGGGCGGGGCCAGCAGGTGCGGTGGGCGGGGCTTCGGGAGTGCTCGGCCCCAGCGCCTGCTGACTGCAGAGAGGCTCCTGGGAGAACCCACCCCACGCGGGAAGGCCCTCCCTTGCATTTTATTTTAATTACTTTGGAAACCTTGAGCTCAAAATGAAGACCTGCTTTTGGTGTTTCCGGTTACCTGCTTCTCCCCTGCAGTTCACCCCAAAGTCAGCCCTGGAATTCCGGCCTCCCCACAAAGGGCCTCCCCTCCTGCTGCTGCCCGAGTAGCCGGTACCACCGCCTGCGGCCAAGGGGCAGGGCCCCCTGGACGGCTGCTGTGCGGTGCCCACTCTGCGCCCTCGGAGACCTCGGAATGGCCTGCAGCCCCGCCCACAGCTCAGCTCCCGGGACAAGGGTGCAGGGGGCTTGTGACAGCCGGATGGCCACTCCAGGCAGAGTGCCGCCTGCTCACCCCACTTGTCCAGCCACGTGCCAGACGCTGGCTCGTGTCACCAGAGGAACCTAGCCCCGTGCACTTCTCAAGCACACCTCCATTTCTGTTGCGTCTTTTGCCTGATGTGCCCCCAAACCCCAGCTTGGTACCAGGCTCTGCCCAGGATGGCTGCACCAGCCTGCAAAGTGCTGGGGGCCACGGGCTGGCAGTCCTCAGGGACCCGGGATCGCGTTCTGGGCCTGGAGAGGAAGCCGAGATGCCCCTGAAGGCCCCTGGCGCTTTCCAAGGTCCCTGCAGGCCACACCCCCCTCCTCACCCAAGCCGGGAACTTTGGGGGAGCCTGTCCACCGGTCCCCACACACTTGGCTCAGTGTCTGGGCCTCTGGGTGACTTGCTCACCCCCAGACACTTTGCCCACATTCCCTTCTGTCTCCTACGGCCCTGAGCTCCCTTCTTGGGAGACAGAGAAACAAAGCAATGCTGCATGGCAGCCACGCACTGAGTGTTCCCTGCTCGTCGTGAACTAGGAAGTGTGCCCCACGGGGCTGCCCACCTCAGCCTCCTTGGACCCCATCTCAGAAGTGAGCAGCGTGGGCCCTCGCCTGGGGGCTACCAGGGCCACGCCTGGCAGCGCCACTCCTGCCCCCGTGAGATGACAGGTCGGCCGGAGACAACGGGACCCAGATGGGAGGGTGGCCAGATCTGTTTGCCGAATTCTGGAGTGAAGCCTCACGTCCCATTTTTCAATTCTCGGTCCTGCTGCGAGAAGCCCTCTGCTGTCCTCCCCAAGGTCGGGAAGCCCCTCATGGCGGCCCTCACGCCCCTCGTAAGACTCCAGCTCGACCCCCTTCCTACAGAAAGCCCACCACGGCGAGCACACACTTAGTGGCTTAAAGTAACACCCACTCCCTGGCTCACCTTCTGTAGGTGGGGAGGCTCTGCCTTAGGGTCTCACCGGGTGTAAATCAAGGTCAAGCCTGCCTGCAAGGTCTGCTCCCTGCCCATTCAGCAGGCCCAGGTCCCACCTCCTTGCTGGCTGGCGGCCGGGCCTCTCTCCCCCTAAAGACACCTGCATCCCTCGGCACGCGGCCCCTTCCACTTTCAAGCCGTGTGTGGAATTCGCCCAGCGTTCTAGGCTCTGGCTCCCTTGCGGCCGCCGGCCAGGGCAGCACTGTGGTCCCAGAGCCGCGAGGCCACCACATCCCAGACGGTCGCCTTGTGTAACTGTCAGCCCTGCCACGGAATGTGGTCCCATCACGTGGCCCCCGCCACTGCCTCCACGCCTGGGATCCACATCTTCAAGCTCCACCTCCCACGTGAGAGCTGAGCTGTGGCCACAGGTCACTCTGACACAGCCAGCACGTAAACGTTCAAGTGCTCAAGATGCATTGTGCTCGTATCTGCTTTGCAAGATGATTCTCTAGAAGATTCCTTTGAGGGTTCCACAAGTAAGACCCGCTCTGGAGTCCTGCTACTACTGCCATCTTCCAGAGCCTCAGCTTCCCTGCCTGTAAACTAGAGGTCAGGACCAGCGGTCCCTCGGGTTCTTGTGAGGGCTGAGGCGAGTGGGGGCAGGGCTCCCAGAGCGCTGCCCAGCCCTGAGCGGGCACACAGCCGGTGCCACCCCAGCGCCCACCCGCAGGCAGCTTCAAGGCCCACATGGGGTGCTCCGCGGCCGTGGGTAAGACGCAGAGCAAGCCCTCCTTTGGCAAGAAGAGACACGTGTCCTGCACACGACGTCGCAGGCACAGGACCTTCCTTTCACACAAGACGCTCAGATGTGCAGGTCGCCGAAGGCACGGGCGGCTTCCCTGTTGCCACTTCCTGTCTCTGCACGAGGACCAGGGCGGGGGATGGGGGGCCCTGGACACTTCCCGCAGGAGCCAGCAACGTGACGGACACTGGGGGGCAGGTGGGGGAGAGCAGGAGGGCCCCGGGCCGCACAGCCCGGCTGCCACGCCGAAGCTGGCACCGCCGCCTCCGTTAGAAGAAGCTGGCATTAACTGTAGCTGAGGATTACCTTTTCCAGAGGCTTCCTGACCCTTGACCCCATGCGCCACTGCAGGGCCACCTGTGACGAGATGAAGGATCACCTGGGCGCGGCCGAGCGCTGGCGCAGCAGGAGGGGCCGGGCGGGGCTGACATGGCGACAGGGCTTCACGCTCCGCTAACACGGCGCTGGGGACCGTCACGTCCCTGCACAGCCCGCCCCCCGGGGAACCAGCCTCAAGCTCCTTCCTCATTTCAAGGGTGAAATCGCGCCCAGGGCCGTGGGCACGAACCGAGCCTCCGTGGGGCCCCTGAGGCGCATGGCCTCCTGCCCAGAAGCTGCCACAGCGGCCATGACACGGGGCCCCAAGGAGGCCGTGGAGAGGATTGTGTGCCCCCCGTCAACTCGGAGACCCCCCCCCGACAGGGCTCAAGCACAGCTCCCCTCACAGCCTTCCTTCCGCCGTCCTGTGGCAAAGACCTTGGGGTCCAATGAGTCCAGCTTGCAAGGTGACGCGGTTTCCAGAGATGTGTGACAGTCACAGCTTCAGTGAGGAGAGACCCGGGCGGGCCCTCCATTCTCTCCACATCCCCGGTCCCACACCGGCCCCTCAGCTGCCCTGGGCCTCAGCCGCTCCGTGACCCCCATGGGGACCTCCACGCTTGCTCTCCTCTCCATCTGGGGCAGGCCTCAGCTCCAAGGTCACCTCCTCTGGGAGGCCTGCCTGGCCTCCTCCCAAGCCCAGCCAGCCACTATCAGTACATCCAAGTTATGTGTCTTCTCTTCCTCCTCGACGACCCTCTCCCTTCCAGATGAGAAGCCCCAGGGCTGGGCCGCGTCTGTTCCACTGGGCAGTAATCTCAGGTCCAGCCAGTGCCTGGCGCACGGAGGCCCTTGACAGATATTGGTTGAGTGAATGAAGTAATGAATGAGTGGTGAGTGAATGAATGAAATAATCCAAAAACTAATGCTTCCCCATTTCCACAGAGGAGAGAGCAAGGCTTAGAGAAGTTTCGTGACGTGTCCCGATGCCCTGCCCCCGCCAAGACTGTCCCTGAGGGGCCCAGGCCCTCCGTCACCCCGCCTGGTGCCGAGGGCCCGCGGGAGCCTCTCCCGGCTGCTCCCACGGCTGACGGTGTGTGTGTTGCTTTCCAGCTCAGAGCCCACGCCGTGGACATGAACGGCAACAAGGTGGAGAACCCCATCGACCTGTACATCTACGTCATCGACATGAATGACAACCGTCCCGAGTTCATCAACCAGGTCTACAACGGCTCTGTGGACGAAGGCTCTAAGCCAGGTGAGCCCCCAGCCCCTGACGACCAGCGGGCAGCAGGAGCCAGTGGGCAGGGCGGCCCCGAGCTCCGGGGAGGCCACGCGGCCTCCACCGCCATGGCGGCACCACGGACCCACTGATGCGTTCATTTACTACCTGCTGCATCTCACACGGTGTGTTTGGGAGCAGAGTCCAGACAGGGGTGCAGATGAAAGACGGGCTAACACAAGTGAATTCGGCCATTGCACTGATAACGAGGCTCGGAAGGAAGCCAGGGGATCTGAGAGTCATGGAGGTGTCTGCAGATCAGGGAGGGTCCCTCTGTGGAGGTGACACGTAGGCCGGGAGCTGAAGCAGGAGCGGGAGCCACTTGGACAGGAGGTCTGCGGTCAGTGTGTGTGAGAAGGGGGTCTGGGGAAGGAAAAGGCGCAGGCAAAGGTCCTGGGGCAGGAGGTGAGGTCAGAGAGGAGACCTGTCATTTGAGGTCTCCCGCGCCACACTTTCCATTTTGTTCCAAGCCCCGTAGGAAGCCCACAAGAGGGCCCGGCACCCCTAACCCAAGAGGTGAGCCTGAGGCCCCCAGTCCCCCTCAGAGCTGACCCAAGGGCCAGTCCTCACACAGACTTCAGTTTGGCATGAATGATATTGACCTCATCGTGGGCCGGGCCCCTTGCTAAGCACGTGATCATCAGGTCTCTGGATCCACGTCCACCAAGAAGTGGGCGCCCCCCCTCTTCCCTTTAGCAAATAAAGGCTCAGGGTCCCAGGAGGTGATGCAAGCAGCCAGACCCCCCCGCGTGTATGTGGGCCAGAGCCCCCGGCCGACGCTGGCACCTTCCCCAGGGCCAAGCAGCATGGCCAGGAATGTGCTGGAAATGCAGAACCTCTCAGCGCGCACCAGATTCAGGCTCTGGAGGGGGGCCTGGGGTCTGGGCATCACGCCCCCAGGCAGTTTGTGTGCAGTGGGGGCGGGGGGCCACCCTTGAGAGGCGGGGCCCCGCTGCTGTGTCCCAAGGCGGGTGGGGGGCGGGGGCAGGGGGCGCTGAGCCAGGAGGAGCCGCAAAGACACAGGACTGCACCCGAAGGTGGCCATTGTCGTGCACACTGTGCCCCCCGCAGCCTCCGGGACACACCCACCAGGCCAGAGGCCGCCTTGTCGATCTGAACTCCAGTGTAAGTGGCGTCTGTAGGTTGGCGGGCGACCCCACCCAGCTCTCTAGCGAGGCCCCAATCCCAGGAGGGCTTCCAGGCCCTTCCAAGTCCCCTGGCTCTGGGCAAACAGAAGCCCAGGCACCTGGAGTTCGCGGAGGCGGCTTCCCGGGAGGGGTCGGAGGCCTGCCACGGGGGCGGGGGGGGGGGGGGGGGGGCCGGCAGGGCATTTGTCGCCCCTCCCCCGCCCGGAGGGCACTGTCGAAGCTCCGTCTCCAGGGGCTGCTGTTTCCACAAGGTGAGTTGCGTCTTCGATTGATTGTCTCAGAACCAAGAGACGCAGGCCAGCCCGGTGTCAGTGAAGGGGACGGGATGTGACATTATTTCTGCCGGCACCCAGGGCAGCTCCTCCCCCCGGTCCCTGGAGGCGCAGGGAAGGCGGATGACGGGCAAATCAGCTCCCAGCATCCAGAGAAAAGAGCCGCCAGCCGCCAGCTCCTGGTGCCGCCGGAGGCGGGGGAGGGGGTGCCAGGCTTGGGGGACTTTCTCGTTAACACAGAGATGGCAGGCCTCCCTCCCCAAGACCCAGAACGCTCTGGAAAGGCACCTGGATGTCACAAATCAAACCTCCTATGCCTCATTTTACAGCAAATCGATAGAGATACTCTTCCCAAGTGTGCAACCGGCTTTACTCATTAGAGTAACAAACGCAGCAACTTGCTGTGTCTCCTCCTCAAAATCCTGATAAGCCTTTAAGCCTGGAGACCAGGGCAGCCCCTCCGTCAGCCTGGAGGTGGGAGGCTGGTGCGGATCCCAAGACTGGTGCTTTTTGGCCACTGCTGTGCCTTTCGCAGTCTGTCTACACGAGGTGTTGACTGACTTTCAGAGTCCCTGGGGGACGCGGCGTCTGTCTCTGGTCCCAGAACAGCCCTCAGAGGGGAACGGGCCACATCTTTGTGCGAAGCCCAGGACGGAGCAGTGCCACGCTGCTGAGGAGCCAGCCGGACGCCCTCACGGGCCCGGTCAAAGGCGGGCTGACCCCAGACAAGGCCGTGGAGTCCTCGAGGTGGGAAGCTCCCAGGACTCAGGAATGGTCTCTGCCACGTCTTCCCCCACATGAGGGGGCCACGCCAGCAGGCGGGTTCTACACGGTGCCTCTGGTGGGGGTGAGGAAAACCACCACCAGAAATTAGTCATGATTCTGTGCCGTGATGTACATTCTAGGGGAAACAAATGGAAAGATGTGTTAAGTACTGACTCAGCTAGGCAAAAAGCGTTTAAGGTTTGGGTTAGTTCGCTTGGGGACATTAGCAGGCTGACTCGGGGCCAGGGTCCCAGGCAGACCCCACGTGTGCCCCACATTCCCTCCCCAGCCCCGGCGCCCCCACAGCTCGTGACATCCTCCCTGGCACCTGCGGGCTCAGACAGGCCGGGAGGGCATGGGGGCCCTGGGCTGGCCTGTCCCGTTTGCCAGAGCCGCGGGCATCCTGGTTCGGGGTCAGGACTGTCCTCTACTCTGATCACAGCTGTTAGATCTCTGGGTCCCTGAAGCCGCCATAGAGGCCCCTGGAGAAGGGCCTTCACCAGCTCACATGACCGCAGGGCCCAGAGACGGGCAGCGGCCTCAGATGTGGACATGCCACATGCAGAGGGGCACCGGCCAGAGCCCTGCTGGCCGCCGGCCGACTGCCGCTCCTCGGTGCTGGCTCGCCCCCAGGGAGGCTCTCTCTTCCTGCAGACGAGCCACCCCAGCAGCTGCAGGCGTGTCTCTGAGCCTCGGACGGCCCGGGAGAGGGACCACGTCTTGCTGGAGCCCAGCAGGTCCCCGTGACCTGGCGTGGGTCGTGTGCCCAACCTGAAGCAGTGCCCACGGCCGGGGCATGCACTGTGGGCATGGGTCAGGCACGGACAGTCTCATTCTAGATCCCTCCGCGTCATGGGGTCTGACCACGTGGCGAGTGTGGATCCCCAAAGGAAAAGCAGACGGTGGCCCCAGAAAACAGACACAAACAGACGTGCACCAGACGCGCAGCTGTAAGGAGCCAGGGATGCCCCACACACCCCCCAGCCGTCTCCCCCAGGGGAACAGTTCACAGAACTGCTGTGCGAGGTCACACCAGGGTGTGGACACTTGTGCGGTCCACGGACCTCGCTCGCACGTCCGCAGGCTAACGTGTGCTGCTTCCGCGCACTTCTCCAAGACCCCCCACAACAGCCCTGCGGGATCCACACTTGCACTTTCCCCACTTCGGAGAGGAGGGCCACCGAGGACACACAGCTAGTAGCAGGGGGAGGCAGGATTTAAACCCAGACAGTCTGACTCATGAGCCACGGCGCTAACCGCTGTACCAACTGCTTCCCCTCCCCGGGTCTCTGCGAGAAACGCATTTGGCCACAAGTCACAGAAAACCCGGCTTGGACCAGTAGGGGTTTGGGGGAGAGCTTGAAGCCATCAGTGTAGACAATATTTGCCTCCCCCTCTGGTTTCTCACCGCATGGTCACAAGATGGCTGCTATGCCTCCAAGCATCACATCCACTATCAGGCAGAAGGAAGGAGAAAGAAAGAGGGGAAGGGCAGAGTGGAGTGTGGGCAGTTCCCCCCACACCCCCACCGAAAACACATGTTGTATGAGAGAGTGCCTTTCTCCAGGACAGGAAAATATAAACCCCACCCTCATGGTGTCCATTGTCCAGTTAAGCAACCCCAAAATCGATATGCTGTGTACATGCTAATGAGTGGTATGTAATGCTCACATGGGCCAAGGCCTTCAGGAAAGGGAAGCATTGTCCTACCTCAGGGCCTTTGCACATGCTATACCCTCAACCTGGGTGTCTTCCCCCAGTCGCTGTGACACTGAGCCCCAGCCCCAGCCCGACACCCCCACCCCAGGATCCCTGGAGGCTAACCAGGGCTCAGGACACGCCGGGGGCCTGCTTCCGGGAGCTCAGAGCTGTTTCACCATCAGTTCCTCAAGGCAGGCTTCTCGAACCTCACAAGCAAAGATGCCTCCACAATGATTACCTTTAACTGAAAAGGGGCTTTAATTGGAATTCCTGATTTCCCTAACCCCCCGTAGCTGTGTGAGGGCCTATATTATAAATTTTGAAATTAATGTCACTTTAAAATATTAAATAGCAGAGAAATCTATATGCTGCCAATGAAGTCAAAGAAACCCTCATCTTGATAATGCAGAGTTTTTGCTTAAATAGATTATTCTATTAGTGGCCCGTTTATTTATTTATTTTATTTCTGTGCCGGCGGAGGGCTCCCCGAGATTAGCGCCGTGGACTAATGCACAGATGGCAGCAGATACTTGAAAGTCATCTGAATATTAAGAATTTAAATCTTTAGCCTCAGTGATTTGAGCAGAAAGCCAATTATGGGGCTGAATTAGTTTTCAAATTAAACTTCAATTTAAGGCTTGTGAAATTAATCCTTTAAGGCGGACGGCCGCGTTTGTACATGAATTTCTCGCAAGAACCGACCCTCTGCTTTCTCCCCTTTCCCTGCCACTGCGAGCAGCAAGAGAGACGCCCCCACCCCGGGCGGCAGGCAGCGGCCCCGCTTAGGTGAAAATACAATCCTGACGTTCTGTTCGCTCGTCAAGATAAATGGAAGCCTTTCTGCTGGGGAGAGAGGCCCGAGGAGGTGCCCAGAGAAAGCGCTGGAAGGGGCTTTGTTTCTCGTCCTCTGGGCCCCGGGAACAAGGACGTGCCTTCTCCCCGCATTAATACAGATGCTGCTGGTGTGAGCGCTTCCTCAACGGAGGGCGTGCCCGGGGCCGCGGCCAGATCGCCTCCACGGGTCCTCCGCGTCCTTGGGGTAGCTGGGGCTGGTGGCTGTGCATGGTGTCAGACCCGCCCGGCCGGAGGC